TGTTCGCAAATGTTTGTTTTGCGATAGGGTTGCGGCTGCGGTATATATTATGTACTGTGAGCACACGTGCATATATATATACGCACGCACGTCACCCGTAAAAAGATTGAATTCCGGCCGGCCACGGGCGTAACCCTTCACCTGAAAGGGAGCCGCGTGACTTTGCGCCAGTGCGATATGTATTATATTAATATAATACACTATGCGAGTATATTGAATTTTTTATTATATTATTATGAAACAGGTATAGTACAGGACGCGAGCGCTTATAATATAGGCATTTGGCTGGCGAGCAGAAATAAAACATATTAATATATAATTTAAAATGCACTCCTCGGTGATATTTACTATACATTATAGGTACTACACGTATGGAGTACGAAACGTGTGCAGCTGCGACGGCTTTGTTGTATGGATTTTTTTCTAAATAGAAATGATAATGAAAGAAAAATCGTAAATAATTTCACAATTTTGTTTACTTTAATCGAACAGAAGATGTGAGATTTCAAGAGGTGGGTTAAATACGGTTAACCATACTAAGCATAATAATATATACTTATATTGATATAAACATAGCTATCATGCTGGATACTAAATATATAGACCGATGTATATTTGATTGAGTACTATTTTTTTAAACTCAAATAATCAACTTATTTTAGGCCTCATATAAATAAATACATTTTATTTTATTTTACAATAGTTTATACAAATATCGAAATATATTGCAAGTAAAATTAGCATTTCAACTAATTTAATACCACACAGATGAATGTTATTAGTACGTTACCGAAGTGGCCGACAAATTATATAATCACGAAGACGCTGGAGAACGGTTCTAGACAACCTCTTCAGAATAACATCTGATAAGTTGGGAATTGCGAAAACACGACCAGTGAACCTCAGATAAAACTAGTAGATGTATAACAATAATATTATAACAGTAACGTATATAATATAATGTCAAAAATACTGGTCTGGTCATTATTGAGGTAATAATTAATAATTATTATAAGATTATGATCACACGGCGTTATGAGTAGGCAACTCAAATACACAATTTTATGAAATCCATTATTAAATAATAAGCCGTGCCTATATAGATACTATATTATTATTTATTATGATGTTAAACTTAATTTTAGTAAAAATGTTTTCGTTCTGTGAATATTTATAAAACATAACTCAAGAATTTTCTAAAAAAAAAATCTCGAGTAGGTAGGTACCTGGTTTCTGGTGCAAGTAACACTGATTTCCAGTTACACGAAATTGAGGAGCCATATTGTAATACAATAATAATAATATAATCAGTATGTAAATAAAAATTTGAACTAAACATATTTCCACCCCCAATATTTTATTTACAGCTTTGCGAACAGCTTACATATTGACTACTTGTAAAGTTTACTATAGTAAAATATACAATTCGTGGAAATCACGTTATTAAAAATAAGTATACAATACATACAGCTCAGTAATTATACGCGGTATAGGTACTCTGCATATAAGACATTGTGCACAATATACGTATTATAATTTATATAATATGTATATTGAATATATTATATTATATTAAATAGGTGCTCACCCACCGAGAGGGGAAATCACGCGTATACACTAATAATTATTGCTGATCGGCAATTTTCGACGACTGTGGTTGGCTGAGGCGGTATGTTTGCTCTTTTCAATGTGCTACCCACCCTCCACTGGTACAACGGACATTACCGTCGATCTTATACATATACAGGATGGAAATCGTGCGTAACAATTTATTACGCACTGGCACGAGACAAGAAACTTGCAGACGTACGTCAAAAAATACACGTCAACATTATTTTGCACGACTCACAGCCCACACATAATATTATAACTCCGATTAGTCTGGAGATTAATATTATTATAAATATGAATATTATATGGAAGAGTGCAGGTCAGCGGAACCGCGGAAACGGAAACATTCGCCGGAGGCACACGTACATCTCTCTCACACACCATATAGGTATAATATATCGACGGATATACTATACAGGTTAAATAAATTCGCAGGGAGAATTTCCGAAAATCTAGCGTGGTGTGCGCACGACGTTGAAAAATTAATCGGACCACCGCCGCTGCCACCGCCACACTATCCGTCTGCGCACACGACCGGAACCATGCGGCGTGGGAGGGGAGGTATAAACTGTGCACTCGTATAATTAGAACAGCTGCGCCCCCTCCGATTAATTATCTGACGTATGCACACACAAACACACACGCACACGCTTCGCAAAAACACAAACGGTGTATTCGGTGTACATAGAAATAGTTTTTGCCAGCCGTCGCAGCAGAGTTGCCCGCGTCTCGCTCGGCGCGTGCTCACCTGCCGCAACGTTTTATTGGATCCTTCGGCCGTATACCGAGCACCACGGTAAGTGCCGACCACCCAGCCACAGCACAACCCCTCCTCTCAAGACCGGGACGTCGATGAAAGCCAACGAACGGTATTAACAATATTACAGATTCGATAGTTTTTGTAACGATTGATAACAACTGAAAACTTAAGACACACACTACACGTACATACATTATTATATTACGTTATAAATTAAAATACGAATATTGTGCATAATACCTATATAAATAGTTTTCAATATTTTATGGTATCTGTAAAATGTCTGCATGCTGCACCTAACGAGATTTTCGAGGAATGCTACGCGGGGAGTAATTATATTAAATATAATATATTAAGTACATACGTTTGAGTAGGAAATTCTACGATTTATATTATTATAATATGCTTGGCGAGAACGCGATGTCAGTTGTTTATATCAGTATTATTATTAAACTTTAATCAATAATCATATTATTCATTTCAATAGCCACTTGTTGTCTATTCGATTCCTATAGTGCAAATCATATAATACCGCGGAGGCGTGGTTTTTATCCGGTATGTTGTGATTGAAAAGGACCAACTACCGCTACATGTTTTTAATTTCAATAGCAGAGGCCAAAGACGCATGCCTATTACCATGATTTTATAATATTATAAAATAATATATTCTAGTAGTATATTATCATAAAATCAATGCTATTACACAGTATACTATTATTGAAATAGGTAGTTATTTATACGAAGACGTTTTTGCTATGCGATTTGAGATGGTTTTCCCTGGCAAGTTGTTTGTTTTCATATAAATTTATAAAATACTACATTTAGCATAACTTTTTACTACATACAAATAATTTCCAGACCTATTATGCACATGATGTAGTTTTTCGCAGTATATGCTCCTTTTATATAAATTTAAATATCATATAATTAACAATAGACAATATTTCTATTTTTTTTTTAAATATTAGATTTATCAATACATCAGAGTTTTGCATTATTTTACACAATATTCAAACTTTATCCTAGTTATACTCATTTAATATTTTCGGCTATATTTTAAATTCTGAATATTGAAGGAAAATAACATTTTTTCTATTACTAAAAATCCAAATGTTTTATCTAATAATTTTATAACTAGAAAATGTTATTAAATTAGTATTTTTTTCAATTCACTCGGCAGTAGGACTATAACTCTATAAGAAAAACTGTGTATAACATTGAAAAAATAAAAAAAAAATGTGGTTTTCAACAAATCGATATATTTTAGGTTATTACGTTTCCGTAGTAATTCACAAAATAAATATCACTTGAAATGTATAAAATATGACTTCACTTCTTATCTAACACTATTTTAAATCGATATCTATTTAGAATCCTATTTGAATTTATATTAATAATAATATATACGACTATCGTGTACGCTGCACACATGATATTATAAGCGTTTCCCAAACTCGTCCTCTTTATTGTGTCCTACTAACCAATTCATTTTTCCATTTTGGATATTCGTAAATTCACAATATTATAATATAATTTGTATAAAAGTGTATTCCATACAATAATAAATTATTAAAATAATCCTAGATAACACAATATATTCACATCAATACAACTACAATAAATTCGTTTTTGAAATGAGAAATTTTGGTTTATTGAGTCAATTATTATTATATAGTTAAAATCATTTTATGGAAATTAAATATACCTACACAATATAATATTTGTTTATATCATAGCTAATAACATTACACACGCGAGTATGGTAATTAAATAAATTGTATAAACAGGTAACTCGATTATATATGAAAGAAAAAAATATGTCACGGCAATAAGTAAAGTAAAGTGCATTCGGCAAGGTGAAACATTTTACTTTTATTTTTACATTTATGGACTAAAGTTAAGTGTAAGTTGCAATTATTATATGACGTATAGCTGCAGCAGCCATTAATATACTGCAATGTGAATATATATATATTATAACCCCAACCCAAAAAGTTATTAACTAATGGATTGCGTTTTCCATACCTCACCGTGGCGATCGAATCACTCAGATATAACAATCGCTAATAAAATGTTTATTGAAGAGGAAAATAATTTTACATTTCAGTCGTTTAAATATATTCATTGATTTTTTTCGCCTTTTTAATGTGACATTAAAATGTCGTCAGTGAATGTTCATCCTCGCATAGCACGCATTTCATCAGCGTGTACGTTAACAAGATTCTTTTACTATAATGTCATCATGTAGGCAGACAAAGCATGTTGGGGTTCAAAATAAAATATATATAATACATTCAATTATTTATATCCCACACGCCAAATATATACGTAGGTATTTATTTAATGTTAAATAGATATAATAATATTATTATTCATTACTTTTTATTAAAACCGAAATAGAATATATTTAGAATAATAATTTATAAGTTTTTGTTTTTTTATTTTATTAATATTTCATTGTACGATTGTTGATACTTGATTGTATTATTTTATGTTTATAGGTTATAAGTTTATAACTAAATAGGTATCGACTATTTTTATTTTTTTTAATTGTTATTTGGAAACTTAAAAGCGTATATAACCTTTATTTATTTTCCCATAAGAATGTTATTTTTTCTGTTATACTTACATAGGTCTGTAGCGTCGGTCCATTTGTGACCCAACAACACCAGTAGGGAACACAGCCAAACCAAATTGATCGACATTATAGCTGCTGTGCCATCAGACTCTTTGCAACTTCCAATTCATATAATACGACCTGGAACAATAAGAAAAGTAAAGATCAATGAGATTCTAATCGGCGCACTCCTTTAAATATTAATGGTATATAGGTATTATAGGTATATATAGGTACACACGTCGACAATGTCGACAATGAGGATTGTATTTCCGTCATTGTTTTTTCGCTCATTATAATTATCTCCACTACACCAGTGCCTGCTCTACCATAAATCGATTTTCTATATATTGATTATCCTTATATATATACATTATACATTTTATATCGTATATATAAAGTGCCGATGACATTTGCATATACGTCTCTGCTGTGCGCCCTTTATACGGGCGCTCGTTCATTGTATTAATAATAATATTATACACACGCGCGTGTGTGTATCTGTATAGCAGATAATAATATATGTTATATTATATATTGTAAAATTCTCTATATGTGTGTTGACCAACAGGTATTAATAATGTGCGTTCTCATTGTGTTATTACGACACGAAAACGGAAAAAAAAGGAAAACAAACGTTCTATATATGGAAAATTAAGGTCAATTACACTCTAGGAAAAAAAAATATATACACAATACAAAAGTGCTCTTTTTGTGCCGTGCTCTACACCACTCTCTCTCGTTCCGTATACGTATATTATATATTTTTTCATGTTTCGAGTGTATTGTTAAAACAATAACAAGTTTCTAAGCGCTGTTCCACTACGTATACCGTACCTCAGTGATATGCAAATGAACGCAGTTTAAATTTTAATAAAACTCAGCTTTTAAATACCCTTTTGTTTTATTTTGTGATTTAATCCAGCTTTAAACCTTCTTGACCGGGTATTATTGTTATTATTGTAGCAGCTAGGGGGATGTTTTGAAAGATTTAGAGCGGTCCCCATTGTGCGTATACACACCTATACGTAAATGTGCATATAGAGAACAACGGTCATCGTCATTCGGACCGGTTGAAATATTTTAATTTATCGAAAACGAGACGGCGTTCCACTGTGCGGCGCCTATGAGTACGCACTATACGATTGTTCACAGATGGAATGGGTGCGAGCGTTATAATATTATGTCCTACATAGTACATTACTATATATACCAAATAACGAATTTCTATACTCGGAACACGTCACCTTTAATAACAAGGCTGGGACGAGAAGAGTACTTATATACCTCCACGGATTCACACACGTATGTATATTGTATATGTATTTCACTGTAATACAAAACTACTGTGTGAACCGAATCAAAATTACTTCAATATACGATCAGGAGACGTAGGTAGGTGGTACTCGTATTCGGATGATGCGAATAAAGATGAAAGGCATCGGCGGTGTGGTACGCTGCCGCAGTGATATTATAGCTATAGCGCCTAGAATATAGTACATACGTTAGCTTACGAAATATTTCGTTTAATATTACAAAATAGTAATAATATAACAGTACGTGCAGCAAATCAGGAATCGACAATATTACGCTCTGTTCCGAAAAACAATTTCGATTTCGAGATTAAATCCGAACTACTCGAATGAACATCATGTTAATACATATAGTACCTATATATACTATACACAGCAATACATATGAGAACTTTCACCGGTGCGGTGCACGAGATTTAATATTATTTATAATATATTATACATATTATTATAAATTTATATCGATCACAATGCGCACGAAATATCACCTCTGGCCTAGCGGTCATTGTTGAGATTTTCAAAAACGGTTGCTCGGTTATATTATATTATTATAATATGATACCTACGACGACCGTCAATGTTGTTATTATCGGGTGTGTACGATACCTGACAGCGACGGGTCATAATTATACGGACTGAGAGATAGTGGCAAACCAGGGTATGCGCGTTATATTGACGAGGTGTTTCCCAATTTCAATGAAAAAGGATACCGCCCGGTCTAATTGACGGTTTACACCAGTTCATCCGAAAGGGGTAAACGAAATTCGGACGTTTTCGTTTATAAAAAAAAAATAATCATAATCGTGATTATAATACGAAGGAGTAACCGTGTTTACCACCTGCGGTAATTAAATTTCTTTGTTGTAATTATCCTTTTTAGACGTGAACCATTTGGACGCCGCCGCCGACAGACAGACAGGCCGCGTTGGATAATTTTTTAGATAATTGGAAAACACCTCCAACGCACGGTGTCGCGTGTGTAACGATGTACGCCCGGGGTCAATATGTGTATTAAATATATACATGGCACATGGACATTGAAAATTCTGAGAAATTATAATATAGGACGAAACTATAGATTGGACTGACAAATAGAAAACGTAAATAAAAAAAAAACCTTTTCGTCCGAAGTTTTTTGCAGCCATAGTTTAATTTCCCCCCTCATATTAATTATTAGCCAGATTAAAACATACTTTATATAATAGTACCAGCGTCCTGCCTGATCAGGGTGATTAAAGATCACATAGAGAACTTATTTTTCAAGAGAACTTCCGACCATTGCATCGGTCTCCACAAAGACAATATGCTATGATATGTATGATGTTGGTTGTTTCAGATTTTCCCACGTTTATTCGACTGCCATTCGATGCGGGTGCATCATGGCACTCGACTACCGTACATGATGAGGATGCGTTTATTAGGGTACAGATTTTAGTATTCATCTAACCGATACATAAACAATAATAATATGTATCATATTATATAGTCATACTACATAGTATAAGACTGCAAGTCTGAGTAATACTGCAAGTAATATTACATATTTTTCAAATCCAAAGCACTATTTTATAGTGACTTGTTGTATATTTGAAAAAGTTATAACCTATTGAAAAATATGAAAAACGGAGTAGGTACTTGTAAAAATTAATTAAAAGTATTGCTATTTTACGTCTCAGCAACTTTTTTGAAAAAACAAATTCGTCTCCGAAAACGAGTGTCATATTACCTTAAAAAAAGATCACCTCGTTAAGACACACGAGTGGTGTGTGCTGTAGTGGTGCACACCCATACACACATAATATTATATGTATATACAACCCGTTTCCGATCGTCAAACATGCACCTATAGAGAGGGAGGGGGAGAGAGAGACGGCAAGAGCGTGCATACGAGGATATGACGATATTTTCGTCGTGCAGGTTTCTCGTCTCTCGACATTGGACCCCCGCACGCACCACACGGGAGGAGTTATGAAATACGTGTATTTTATTATTATTATTTATTATAGTTTTTTTTTTTTTCACCCCTATTAATATTCCGTTCGTCTCGCTGCTGTCGACAAGACACGGCCGCGTGTTTGTACCCGGATGATCTGATAAGTAAGTAGAGCAACGGTGACGACGTGGTGCGTCAACGTGGCACACTATGTGCAGAGCACATGCGGCGGATAAAAACCCTCTGGAAATTACACACGTATAGACCAACTCTAATTGCACCTCCGTACGATATTATTATCGTACTAATCTTTAACTCGGTCTATAATTAGAGCGGCGTGGTGATAATATATAATCAGATTATAATGTCGTGGGCGCTCGCGTACGTTTATATTACATAGGTACGCGATACGCGCCATAAAGTCAGAACGATGTTGACGAAACACGCTCGGGGTGTACGAAAATAAAGTTTAGATAACGCGCGCGTATTTAAAGAACGCCTTCTGTAAAACACGGTGCATGTAAACCCCGATGGATAATAATATATTATATAGGTGTAAGTGCATAGGTGGTGCCCGGTAAGTTTTCTAAAACATCGTATAAATAATATGATACATACATAATATCGTCATAAGGACCGAGCTCCTAAATATCCGCTCGATATATCTATAATATGCGGTCGTATAATATATATTATTAATATATGTGCATTGTTATTTTACAGGTATTCTTTACACACGCAGGAGTAAATATATACATAGGTATATAACGAAAAAATAATCCTCGAGGGTTTTCATGTCACGATATTATAATATTCTCCAAGACTCCATTGCATCTTCGGGAATATTCATATAACGCCTAACCGCGGCTCACAATATACTCTATTTATATTGTGTATATTATCATTTATCAGTAGGTACCTCTTATAAACCTATAATATACCTAACTACATGGCACATGCCACCACATCGACTGAAATTTGTGGATTATTCGATAAAAAATAAGAAATACTATATATATATTTTCGACGGACATACACAATAATAATATAAAACCAAGTAGGTATACTGCCGAAACGCGGGAATATAACCTTTTGTACTTAACTTTGCTTTTTTTTCTTCCTTATTTCACAATTTCCGGTCTACTAGCTGCTTTTAAATCGTCTGAACGTTATAATAAAATAAAATGTTACGTGTGTACGAGACGATTATTGATTGGGTCGATCGAAGAAACGGGCGTCCGATTTGATGAGGGAAAAAAATGAAAACGTTTTTCTCGCACGAGGCCAACTTGGACGTTTCGTATTCAAACGCCCAGTTTTTGAGTCGGCGCCTGCGGCAGTCGCGTGTACATTGTTTTACGCGAGCGATATGATAACAACCATGCACGACGTACCGTCCAAAGCGTTTAGTTTTTTCCGTTTTCAAGTAAGACTACTTATCAAACATGTTTTTTAGCCAGACGGCGAACACGCGGCGTTGGGGTCAACAACAACAACAACGAGCGAGCAGGGGACGGGCGTTACGGCGATGAAGACCGATGCCGCCGTAAATCTACGCCTTCGTATCCTATCGATTATTTTAACGACTTGTTTTTAGTGGACGTCGTGATGCGTGCGGAGCGTACGCTCGGCGGTTTGTCTTTAAGATAAAAAAAAAAGAAGAAGAAGAAGAAAAAATATTACACGACGGTTTTTCGAAGGGCTGGAAAACATTATATAACCGTGGTGTAATCTCGGCGGGGAGCTCGTTCCTCCGCATGACCGGACGGTTTTAATGATTTATCCGTCTGGCCCCGCTCGCACATTCGGATATCGTGTCGATATATAATAATATATAATATA